ATCATCATTTCTACTCAGATTTCTGTTAAAGTCTCTCTGTTCATCTTATTATTTTCTTTCTATGATCAGTCTGAGGAGCTTTGGCTCTGGATCATCACTGATCTGGAAATTTCTTCTCCAGAGATTTCCAGCATCACCATGGCAACAGAGATGGAGGATAAATGAACTAAAAACTTGAATCTGCCTGTAAAAACATTGATCATTGTTCATAGAGCAGCTCAGTGAGGTTTCTGTGTTTCTACAGATCCAGCAGGAGGTCAGGAGGTCGTACAGTTTACTGTGGAACCAGAAGAAACCAAAGTCCTGCTGGAGACCCAAAGAGACGGGAAACGGTACCTTGTTGTCGACTGTGGAGGTAAAAGTTACTCACCGTTACTTAAAGGTTTAAAGACGAGTTTGAAAAATCAGTGTTCACACTAAGAGACCCAATAAATGTATTGAATTGATCTTTTTGATAATTTGCTGAATATGAGTTAAATTGTTCAGTGTTTTCTGATATCTATCATTTAATCTGTTTTATTCTCTTCCTGTTTGTCAACAGATTACAGTCACTTCACTGTTCATGACGTCCTGAAAGGAGGAGCCCTGAAGACGCTGCATGAGGCCCCTAAAAATGATCTGGGAGGACAAACTGTAGAGAGAAAATTCAAAGAGTTCCTGAGAGAAATATTTTGTGATGAAGTCTGGGATGAATATGAGCAAAACTTCCCCAGTGAGGTTCAAAAAATCATGTACGATTTTTCTCATCTCAAACATTTGGATGAAGATGTTCAGATCCGTTGCCCGGGTAACCTGGTCATGTTGGCTCAGAAACAGAAACAGATTGAAACGTTCTTTGATTCAGTGGAAGGAGCTTCCTGGGATGATGGATCTATCAGGATCTCCAGAGAGAAACTGAGATCTTTCTATAATAAGAGTCTGCAGGGAATCACAGGGAAACTCAGAGAAATATTAGACAAAAATCCCAACATTGGGTTTATTGTGTTAGTGGGAGGATTGGCTGAGAGCCAGATTCTACGTCAGCACATCACTGATCAGTTTGGACGTCAGTATAAAGTCCTGTGTCCTCTTAGACCCCAGGAAGCGATTCTGAAAGGAGCCGTAGAGCTGGGGAGAAACCCAGAGATGGTGGAGCCTCAGAGGAAACGTCCAGCTTGGTTCAGATGTTGGTCATGAGATTTAATTTT